GGAGACTGGGCTCTATGAGGCGGTATGTGGCATCAGGATTGGAGGAAGACTCATCAACAATCTGCGTTATGCAGATGACACAATCTTGCTTGCTGAAACTTAAGAGGACCTTAGATATTTGTTGCAGAAGGTCAGTGACTGCAGGCTTCAATATGGATTGAAGCTCATCACCAAGAAAAGATTCTCACCAATGGTCCGAATGGCAGCATCATGATAGACAGTGAAGAGACTGAGATTGTTAACAGTTTCTGCTTGCTTGGCTTCACAGTCAACACTCTTGCTACTAGCAGCTAGGAAATCAAAAGACAAATTGTACTGGAAAAATCTGCTGTCAAGGACCTCTCCAGAATACTGAAGAACAAGGATATCAATCTAGAGACTAAAATGCGCCTGATCCAGGCTATGGTCTTCACAGTTACTTACTATACATAAAAGAGCTAGACAATGAGTAAGGATGATAGAAGAAAAAATTGATGCCTTTGAGCTGTGGTGCTGGAGAAGAGTATTGAATATACCATGGACTGCTGGGAGCACAAACAGATTTTTCCTTAAGAGGGTGAACTGAAGCTGCTTGGAGGGAAGGATTTCGATGCTTCATCTAACGTACTTTGGGCATGTTGCAAAGAGTGACCAGTTCTTGGAGAGGGACATCATGCTTGGAAGGGTGGAGGGACAGCACAAAAAAGGAAGACCTTTGATGAGATGGATTGACTCAGTGACTGGGGAAATGGGGGTAGGTTGGCTCAAGATATAGCAGGGTTCAGAGCTGTTGTACATAGGGTTGATATGAGTTGCAAGTGACTGGATAGCACATAATTACAACAAATCTATTTTTGTTTCCAAGAAGTCTTCAGGGATATTTTTGGTATAAGTTTTAAAGATTATGTCAGAGCAGTAGTGTCTTGAGATTCATCCATCCTCAATGGCTGAAAGTTGAGAGTCTGTGAGAATTTTCAATTCTGTATTTCACGCAAAGGCGATGAGGATTCTTCTATAAAAGTGTAGAACTTTCTAGTCTGCTTTGATATGGAGACAGTAGAGGCAGGGTGTTCCTCGGTGTTGTAAATAGTTAAACACTCAACTACTAGATGGAAGGTTGTTGGTTCCAACTCGCCTAGAGGCATCTCAGAAGACAGTCCTGATGATGATCTGATTCCAAAAGGTCACACCTTGAAAACTCCATGGAGCCCAGCTCTACTCCACATACGCGGAGTTGCCATGAGTCAGAATCAACTTAATAGCAACTAACAACAACAGAGCATGACAATAAAGAGTGTGAGTGGAGGCATATTGCCCTGGCTCTGCCATATTCTAGTTAGGTTTCTGGAATACATTTCTTAACCTCTCTATGCCACCGTTTCTTCACCCACAAAATGGGAAAATAATAGGATATATCTCAGAGGATTAAGTGCATTAATACATGACAAGTCCCTAGCGATGTGCCTGGCAATTTATAAGTTACTATTGTTGTAGTTGTGTACTATTGGGTGGGCACCAACTCAGAGCTGACCTTCCATTGTTTTTTCGAAGGAAATAAATCACGTGGGAGGAGACTGCCCATCTTTCTCCCCCTGAGCAGTTGGTGGATTTGATCCACAGACCATTGGCAGTACAGCTCTTTACCACTAGGCCACCAGAGCTTCCTTAAGTTGCTATTGTTGTTGTTGTGTATCATCGAGTTGGAACCGATCTGTACTTGACCATCTAGTGGGTTTTCAGAGGCAGTTAATAGCATGGGAGAAGACTGCCCACCCATTAGTTTCTGTTTTAATTATTATAGGGTGCCTGGGTGCATGGTAGGTTAAACACTGGGCTGTTAACGGAAAGGTTAGTAATGTGCCTCACCAGCTGCTTCACAGGAGAAAGATGCAACCGTTTCCTCCCATTTACATTTCTCCACATGAAAAAGATGCTCAGCAGCTCAACTCATTGCTATCAAGTCGGAACCAACTGATAGCCAACCTTCAGCAGGTTGTCAGAGGTAGTAAATTGCAGGGGAGGAAATTGCCCATGTTTCTCCCACAGAGCAGGTGGTGGTGCAATCGAACCTTCCGGCCTTTACTAGAATAGCCTGTCATCTACTAAACCAGCAGAGCTGTCATTAAGATTCCCAATCTGGAAACTTGATTGAGGGTCACAATGAGTCAGAATTGATTGTCAGATTTTTTGTTTGTTTATTTTTATTATTAGAGACTTTTCTTATTTCATCTCAGAAATTACAGTCATATACTTCTCTGCATCATCTTATACTCATCTTTCTCCTTGAGCTATAGATTAAATAGGAATCCCTAATCCAGGCCATGGTCTTCTCAATTACTTGTTATGCTTTAGAGAGTTGGACAACGACTAAGGATGACAGAAGAAGAATAGATGCCTTTGAGTTGTAGTGCTGGAAAAGAGTCTTGAACATATACCATGGACTGCCAAGAAAACAAATCGGTCTGTCTTGGAGAGGGAGAAACCAAGTCTCTCCTTGGAGGTTAGGATTTTGAAGCTCTGCCTCCACCTATCCTACTTTGGGCATGTGGCCAGGAGAGATCTGTCCTTGCAGAAGGACATCATGCTCATGGAGGGACAGTACAGGAGAGGAAGACCCCAAATGAGAAAGATTGATACAATGGGGGTTGGTGTGTCAGAATTAGTGAGACTGGATCAGGACAGGGAAGGGTTCAAAGCTGCTGTACCTAGGGTCACTATGCATTGCAGGCAACTCAGTGGCACATAACAACAATAACATTCTAGGACAGATTTGAAAGCAGGAGTGGCATCCTCTTCCTAAATAACATGCCTCCAGAAACTCTATGAACTTTGATAAATGTCGATAGTTGTAGAGGGACTTCAGGCCTTTTGTTCATAGGGTCACTATGAATAGTACTCGACTCGAAGGCAATCAACAAGTGGTGTAAATTGTTAATACTAGCTGCTACCTGAAAGGTGGTTTGTTCACATCCACCAGACATAGCTTGAAAGGGCTGGTGATCTGTTTTCAAACCATCACAGCCCTTGGAACCTCAGCAGAACAGTTCTACTGTGACACACACATGTGGTTATCTTAAGTTGGAATAGATTTGATGACAACTCTGGGGGGTGTTGGTGTTATTTGTTTAATAGATGTCAGTGTATCACCTGTGAACTTTTGTAATAATAAATGTATGATACAGATTGTCACTGTTGTTTTGCACCATGGAGTCGGCACTGGCTCATAGTTGTTCCATCAGAGGGATCCTCAAGAGAAAGCACCTAGTGCTGAGGCCCCGTGAGCTTATATAACCTCTAGGAGGGTGCAGCTTGGAGCTCATCCTAATCCTCTCTCCTTAATACAGTAATGACTTTAACGTGAAGTAGTTAGTTAATGGTTGCCTTTGAAATACATCTGAATAAAAACCTTAGACATCTAAAAGTCTATAAAAAGCCAAATGAAAGAGCAAGTTTCAAGTATCTACTTTGCAGCTGGTATCCTCACATGATTTTGCCCACATTGATGATGATTTTGGTGTCTCACAAATCAACCCCCACTTGTTTATACTCTCCTTGGGATCATTCGGTTTCTGAAACAGAACTTTCTCAGTTGAGCCATCTTGAGAAATTTGAGGGCTCAGTACAGGAACAGATCTCAGGGATGGGACCTGCACACCTCAGTGGCTTCCCATAACTTCATCTGCTCACTTACTGACCAGTTCATTTCTTGAACAAATGTTTTAGTGTAAATATGTGAGGGGAACAGTGATGGGTAAGACAAAGCCCTGCATTCCTCAAGTTCACAGCAGGCTGTGGTCAAGAGGGTACTTCCACGTGCTCTCATGAGTAACTGATGCCTCCACAGACTCTGGGAAGAAAGAGAGAAGATAGACAAACTAATAAAATTAAACAGAGCAGGTGTGGGAGGAGGGTATTCATGACTCCTTCCTTTTTCTTCTCTTCAGAACACCAGAGCAGAGTTGGGTTGGGTGGAGAGAGGAATGGAGCAGGAAAGAGCCTCTTGTGACATGGGGAAGACATTGGGGTTGGCGGGCACTAGGCATCCTCTTTCTGGGGTCTTTGTGGTGGGCGAAGCTTCCAGACTCTGATTCCTTGGAGAACACGTCACCCCTCCATCCTTGACTTCTGCACACCCGGTTCTTCTATCTAGCTGTCTTTTTTCTCCTTCCGTATTTTCTTTTCCTCTTCCTTTTGATTTCTTCTATTCTTTTGTTCCTCTTTTTCTTATTTCCCCCTCTGCCTCACTTCCTTTCATTGTCTTATTATATCCATATTTTTTCATGATTGCTGTCACCTCAGTTTTTTCCATGTGCTCTTGTTTCTGTATTTACTGTTTCAGTTTCTCTTATGTCTCCACTCATTCTTTTTCATGCAAGTTTAATGACTACAGACAAAATGTCCTTGTCAGAGGCCTAAAGTTCCCTTCTCTACCATCTGCATGCCCACACGTCTTTATCGGATTTGAGTCTCTGAACCAAAAAAATTGGGGCAACTCCAAATAAAAGCAGTTAACATACTATCCACTTTCATTCTAATTATGCTTATCTCCCTTTGCCTACTCTCATGTTCACAAATGTAGAAATCTGTTTACTATCCCCATTATGTAAAAATAATTATCTCCTCTGATGGCCTGGCGGTTAAGGAGTTGTGCTGGCAATCCAAATGCACATAGTTTGAATCCACCAGCTGCTCCGTGGGAGAAAGACGGAAAATCTGTGTGATTGACAACTTCTAATAACCCACTGGAGAAGGCCAGCTGTGAGTTGGCTCTGCCTCAGTATCTCATAACAACAACATTGTTACAACCAGCATAATTCCCATTATAACATTTGTAACTTCACTGCTTTCCCTTCCATGATGGTCTATCTCTGGATTAACTTGTAACCAAGTTTGAAAAACACTGCTGTGAGTATTTTATTCTCTGTGTGCTCAGTGTCATTCTGCTTTTTCTAGTCCCTGCATTCATAACTACCTCTGCATTCAACAAGGAGAGAACAAGACAAGCCACTTCTCCGCAGTGGTCTACAGACACAGAGGATCCTGGGTAACTTGGGTTTGGTTTTGTTTTTTCACTTAAGTGTTTCTAATAATTTTGGTTTGATGATGTCTGTTACTTTTGAATATTTTATTGATTGTGTATTAGACATGACTCTTCATCACAGAGATAAGAAAATACCTGTCCCCTCTCTCTGCTAATTTTCTTGTATTTATTTATTTGGTGTGGGAAGATGCATCTGTGAGACTGATCTCCAAGAAGGAAATTGGTATTTTTTTTCTTCTCCAAGAAGAAAAAATGAGAATAAATCAATTGAACAGTCCTGTGTCTTCTGCAGTATTTGTGATGCCACAAACTCCAGCATCTTCTTTGGTGGATCTTAAAGCAGTGTAAATGTCACCCTGAGAAAGTCTTGACTAAACACAGGCTGGTGGGAGTGCCGCATGTTATCTGCTGCACATTCTTCCTTCAGATAAGCAATACCTCATCCTCCCTCACACTGCCTCTTGCTAACCATGACTTGAGTAAATTGTTCCTCCTTAGCTTTTCTTCTTTAAAAATTAAAAAGATGATGCTGTCAATACCTAACACATGAAGTGGTTGTGAGATTTGATGCATAATATCATTGGAAGAGATTCCTGAACTTGATTCAAGATGTGTCATTGTCTATTCTGCCCCAGTACCTGACCCATTGCCATTAAGTGGATTCCAACATATGGTGATTCTCCATCATGTTCCAAAGGTGGAAAATCCCAATGGGAACGGACTCATGTTTCTCCCAGAGTGGCTGGCAGACTCCAACCACCACTCTTTGGTTAGCAGTGCAGCCTGTAATGCCCTACACCATCAGGGCTCCTTCCTAAATAGCTAACGGTACCTAATAAATGAGGAGTCCTTCTAACCTGCTAACTGGAAGGTCAGTGGTTCAATCCCACTAGCCATCAAAGATGAAGCAGTCAACTTCAGTAAAGATTTCAGACTTGTAAAACTGTATGGAACAGTTTCCTTCTGTCCTGTAGGTCACAAAAGTTGGAATTAACATAACTGCAATGGTTTTTATATTAATAAATGGCATCTACTGTTTGGATAAAAGTGCTGAATATATTCCATGGACTGTAAAAAGAACAAACAGATATGTCTTAGAGAAGGTGTAGCTAGAGCGCTCCTTGGAGGCAAAGATGATGAAGCTTCTTCTTACATACTTTGTTTGGGCTTGTTGCTAGGAGAGGCTATTCATTGGAGAAGGACAACTGCTTGGGAAGGTGGAGAAATGGCAAAGGAGAGGGAGATCCTCGACCAGGTGGATTGACAACAGTGACTACAGCAATGGGCTTGAATGTGTCAGAGATTGTGAAGATGGCACAGGCTAGGGCAGGGTTCAGATTTGTTGTTCACAGGACATTCTGAGTCATGCAGGACTCAAGGCACCTAACAACAATAACCACTGTTGTCTCTTGAGTGGTGGTATAAATGGTTACTTGGCAGTAACCAAAAGGTTGGAGATTTGAGTCCACTCAGAGGCACCTCAGATTAAAGGCATGATGACATGTTTCTGATCAACCACAGAAAACATTTTAGGAGCCTAGTTCTACTCCGACACATGTGGGTCACTGAGAGTTAGCGAGGAGACTGGTACTGGTGAGAGTTAAAGATATTCTCTGAAGCAGATTATTAGAGCACTTTCCATTTAACAGATCACAGCTCATCATTCTTACGGATAAAGAAAACTAACCCACTCTTATCTTGGAATGAAAACTACAAGTCTTTTCTACAGTGTTCAGAGCTCTGTGCTATATTTCCCCTGAAGATTTATAAAATTTACTTCTTTAAGGTAGAAGATGCTAAAATTTTCACTTGTGGCTCATTGATCTCTTCTGACTTAGACCGTGCAGAATGTTAGTTTCTCACAGCTTATTTTAAGGAGATGCAGAGAATATGTCTGAGCTTTCCATCTCTGCTTTTGTCTGTGCTGCCCGTATGACTGTGATGCTTGACTTCAGATCAGAGAACATTCCCGTTCCCAGATTATGTATGTGAGCTGGTGAGGAATTGGGGTAAGGCCTTGTGGATATTTGTGGGTCTCAGAAGCAGAAGAATAAGGGTGGTCTCTGGGCCAGGAGTAGCTTTCCTCCTCTGACTAAGATTTAAGGATTCTGAGTTAAGAGGCAGATGAGGCATGGGAGCCCAGAACCCTCTTTAACCAAGACACGAGAAAACATAGATTTGAGAGTTCTCAAGCCATTACTTGTTCAAATTATATAATTCTTGAAAACATAAGTACTAAAACATACTTTTTAAAAAAACTTACCATTTTTCATATAATCATTCCTTTACATTGTTTCATTCATATACATTGTGTTTTATATAATCTTTCATTCATATTGTTTCATACATCATTCATATACATTCTATTTTACATTATTTTTTAATTAGTTTGCTTACAAAGTTTATATACATTGTATTTCACACTATTCTTCATACACGTTGTGTTTTATACACTCATTCTCATACACTGTATTTTATAAAATCAGTCGCCATTGGACCTTGCCCATCATGACCCTATCTTTTTGCCCAGATCCTTCTCATTTGCTTCCCCTCCTCCCTCCACTCACCACATTTTGCACCCTTTGGTTTCATCCCTGCCTATTGTCACCCATTCACTCCTCACTCCCATTCCCCTAATTATCCTTCTATTTTTACGATGGTCTTATGCAGTATTTGTCCTTTAGAGACTGCATTAGTCCACTCATCATAATATTCTCCAAGCACTCCCAAGTTACATAATATTTTTCCAAATTATTACTCCTGTGTGCTGCAAAGTATTCCATTATGTAAAAATACCACAATTTCCTAATCCATTCAGTTGTGGTTGGACATTTGGGCTGTTTCTATGTTCTTGCAATGGTGAATTAACGCTGCTATGAACATTGGTGTTCAAATCTCTTGGGGTTTATTCCTAAAACATACTTTTATACACAATCTAGTAGTATGATTAGTTAGGATACAGGCTATCCCAGCTTCTGTAAATTCACGGCGACCAGACAATTCAATCATAGATTGAAGAAGACAGAAAATGATGATTGTAGTTGCCAGTCATAACTCAGTAAATGAGGAAGTTTAAGAGGCATCCTAGGACCAAGCATTTCATACCATTCTCCAGTCAACCAAATGGCTTTGTGGATGACAAGTCTTCCCAGGACTTGCTACTCTGAAGATAGCTTCCAGCAAGTCAGGTTCAACTCATGGTTACCTTACATAGAGCAGAACAAGACATTGATTAGTCCTGCTTCAGCCTCACAATTGAACATGCTTATTCGAGCCCATCATTGTAGGTAGCCACTGAGCCAGTCCATCTCACTGAGGATCTCCTTGCCCTCTCTGGCTCCCTGTTTCCCCAAACATTATCCTTTTCCAGGGATTGGTCCCTCCTGATCTGTCCAAAGCAAGCAAGTCTCTAAATGTTGACTTGTGAAGTTTTCTTAAGGGAATCTGACCACCATGAGTGACCCATAACTTTCAGCATCATGTTGTTGTTCTGTGCCGTCTAGTCACTTGTGACTCATAGTGACCTTATGTACAAGAGCCCTAAACGTCGTTCTATCCTGTGCCAACCTTGCCGTCTCAAACAAACTCATTCCCATCCCTTCACTCACAGAATTAATTCATCTCATCGAGGATCTTCCTCTCCTGTGCTGTCCTTCCACTCTCCCAAACATGATGTCTCCCTCTGAGGACCAGTCCCAAAGTATGTCAGATGAAGCTTCAGAATCCTTGACTCCAAGGATCATAGCAACCCAAAAACCACCCTAACATAATAAGCTCACAGATGAGTGGAGTTCTGTAGTTCAGGCACTCAAATGACAGTGAGATAAAGTATTACTTACCTTCCCCCTAGATACTGTATGGAGTTCAAGACAGAGTCATTGACTCATCACTGTGCAATGGAGAACCGGCCTCTGACTCGATGGATGCAGTACCTCCGGGAGGGGTACACAGTGTGTGTAGACTGCCAGCCTCCAGCGATGAACTCTCTAAGTCTTCGCTGTTCTGGAGATGGCCTGGACTCTAATGGGTAAGGGTCGGACACTGGTGGAAGAACTTTCCTTGGAACTCACTCTTAGAGATGTATTCTCCAGGTCCAGAACAGGTAACCAGTGTGTAACATGTCAAGGTATGGTGGAGGATTCCAGATGTAAGTGAGGAGAATCTTCTATTAAGTTATTCCAAACCTCCAGGCTTCTGGTCAGACGTCACTCACACCAGAGATGCGTGGTTCCATCTGCATTTCATCCTATTTCTTTTGAGCAGGTCGGCTGGGATACTTCAGGTTAATGGCTCCCAAATGAACACTTAACTTGATTTTCCAGATAATAGTTTAGAAGCCTACCTGTGCATCTGGGATGCGGGTTTAAAATCTGGAGATTCTCAAGCCCTACTTCAGACCAACTGAATGAGAATCTTTGGGGGTAGATGTCTAACAATATATTAAGTCAGGGTTCAGGAAACTTTTTTCTGTGAAGCACCAGGATGGTAGACATTTTCATTGTGAATCAATGATCTGTCATTACAACTTTTGCACTGTGATGTGGAAGCATCCAGATACTATGGAAACAAATGAGCCTGGCTTTGTCCCAGTAAAACCTTATGTATGACACTAAAATTGGAGTTCCTTACAATTTTCATGTACATGAAATGTTCTTTTAAATTTTTTTCTCAACCATCTAAAATTATACAGGCCATTTCTACTCTCAGTCCATACAGAAGTAAATGGTGAGTGTGACTGGGCCCACGTGCCAGTTTGCAGACCACTGTGCAATGTGGTGTTATAAAACCACGACAAAGCCAGTGACATGCTCTGCTCTGCAGGGTCACAAACAAAAAATCTGGAGGTTTATCTGATAGAATTAACCTAGAAAACATTTTACCTCCTTGTAAGTCTGTCTCAGTCCTGCCACTGAGGTGTCAGTTAATTTGATGGCCTAGTGGCAAGAAGCTGCAATCCCAAAGGCATACAGTTTGAGGCCATCAGCTGCCCCATGGGAGGATGGGCAATGTCCTCCCATGAGATTAACTGCTTCTGAAATGCCCCAGAAGGTCAGCTATGGGTCGGTTCTGACTCGATGGTACATAACAACAGTAATAGCTAAGAACAGAGCTCATGCTGGGGAGCTATTGGAAACGCCCAATTTAGGTCATACATGGAATCAGGTTTTAAATGTCAGGTGGAACTGGCAAAAATACAGATTAAAAAGTCAGCTATGGGCCTTTCCAGTTAATCATTATTCTCATAGTAAGTTTTAATATTTAATAACTGGAATTCCTGTTTATTAGTCACTTGAGCCTACAGAACCCTGTATTGCATACATGGTATGAATAGTAAAATGGGTGAGGAGTTAATATCAAACAGAAACTTAATATTCGATATAATGCTTTTCTGAATATCTCATCCATATTTTTAGTTTATAATTTAATTTGCACTCATAAAGTACTTTAACTCTTGGCTGAGGTACCAGTGACCTTAGGAAATAATATTTGCAATAATTTGCCTTTGCTCCTATTGCTCCAGAGTTTTGTTGGGGTTGAGTTTTGCTTTTTTTCATTATGGAATCAAAAGAGTTGGAAGGGATTAACAGATAACATTTGGCTTAGACTACTCTAATTTAAACCCACGAATCATCGACCCTTTTCCTGTTTTGTAGTAATTCACATATGCAGGTTGATTTGGTGCAGCAACCTCAAGCCTCACGTGACCCCAAATAACAGAACTTGCTACTTAGGAATTTTTTTTTAAGTGGCAAGTGATGAACAAGGATTTTCTCTAGTTACTAGTGTACATTTAAGGGGCAGAGGGAAAGTATTTTACCCACCTCCCAGGGCAGAGTAAGAAACCTGAAATAAAATTAAAAAACCCAAAAACCCACACACAAAACAAAAAAAAACCCAACTCCAATCAAAAGCCAAGGCCTTAAGACAAGGCTTCAAGTTATGTTTGGTTAACAGAGTTCTGAAAGTAGGTTATCATAGCTTTATGCTTTTGTTTATATATGCTGTACCATCTATTTGTTTACATACCCAAAATATACTCAGTTCTATTCTACCTCTTCTTGAAGTCAGGTGGGCAGTACAGAATGGGGTTGGTTGCTAACTTAAAGGTTGGAGGTTTGAGTTCAAAAATAGCTCTCTCCTGGGGGCAGGGGAAGCAGCCATTGAAAAACCCCTGGAGAACAGTTGTATTCTGACAGATCTGGGGTCTCATGAGTAAATGTTGACTTGACAACTGGTTTTTAAGAGAACCCCAATGAACTTTTGCTTCAGGTAAACCAGGAAGGAAAATTTAGTGTATGATCATGGTCTTTTTGGGGAAAAAAAACCCCCCTATTAATGTAATTGAAATTTATCTTTTCTTAGATTTGCGCTTAACATTTTCAAAATGTCATTTCAGAAATCAGACTCTCCACTGGCAAGCTATTGGCAATCCTCGATGTCAAGGAACGTGGAAAAAAGTTCGTCGAGTACATCAGTGTTCTTGTCCAGCTGTCCACAGTTTTATTTTTATATGATTGTAAAGTATCTATTCCCAAATGTGTTGTAAGCATGTAAAAGAACATCAGTTCAAATCATTGCCTCATAAACTACCTAAAAACTGGCCTTAGTCTCTGAATACATGCCATGGTCACTCTTGGAAGTACAGAAAAAATTTAGGGACTAGTTCTCAAAAAAAACACTGCACCTTTATTTTTATATTTGCAAAGATGTGAAACCAACATAAAAGCTTCTGTGGTTTTATATACTTTCATCTAGAGGTCATTCAACAGGTGACTCATGACATGTATGAAAATGAAGAAAACAAAAACAAAAAAAACCAAACAAACCAAAACCAAAAAACACAACCAAAACCCAGTCCATATATTGGTAAGTTGTCATTTAAGGGTATCCACACTTTGCATCTTGCCTTCTTTCTATTATATCTCATTAAAGAATCTTACTTTATATATACATAATTTTTAGCTCTCACATTTATAATTCATGTTAGTTCATAGCACTGAATAAGTGATGTCTAGCATATTGCCATAATTTTCCACAGGGAAAATGATTTAAGATTTCAGCATTTTGTAAGGAAAATCCAACAGCTTTTCTAAAAATGCTTTCATAAAAAAGAGAGAGAGAGAGAGACATGTATTTCTTCAGTTAGTTTAAAAAAAAACGGTCAATCTTCTCTCATCAGTAGTTATTTTTTTCATGCAGAGAAATTTTGGGCATAATGAATGAAGTAATTGTTTAGTTATGAAAATACTACTATTTTAGCCTCTAGATATTTCTGAGGTTCTCAAGCCTGGAGTTCACATAATTTTTCAGTCTAAGATCAGGTATACTGTGTTTCACAGCTTGGCTTTCCCCACCAGCCTGAGGTAAGAAGGCAGAATCATAGCTATTGTTACTTGTTGCCATTAGGCAGGAGTCAACTACAACAGCAAAACAACTGTAGGAACAACACCAGAGCAGAACCTTGCTCTCTCTCCTGCACCATCTTCACAGTTTCTAATAATGCCTATCGTTTGTCCCTGTGTTAATCACAGATATAGATGGCATGAGTTTTATTATAAAAATGACCAATCTCTCTCTCTCTCTTACACACACAGACATAAAGATGTATTAATCTATTTTACAGTAGAAAAGTCACTGATTTTGAGACAGAGCAGCGTAGTTTAAACATCTGGAATGATGAGCGGTCCTGCCGTCAGCTAGTCAGGTCTCAGCTCGGACTCGGCTCACCCAAGATTCCGCTTCCATGCAGAGCCCACCCGCACAAAAAGGTGGGTTGTCAAAATGAACCCTTTTTTAATGTTTGGAAACAAATTTTACATTTGTTTTACAGATGTTACATTATATTCTCTTTTGAGAACTGAACCTCTAAATGATAATGGTATTTTGTTCTAATTGTGTAAATTATCATATATTATTACTAAATTACACGTATTGCCAACAGCATGCCAACTGCAAACTTTATCAGGGATGGAAGCAGTATCAATATTTAGGACTAAGATAACAGTTTCTGACCACAGCCATTTTAAACTCAAAGTTGTTTGTATAATTCCTCAGAAATTGATAAAAAAAATTGAGTCTCTTTAAGACTGTGAACTTCAAGTCTAGCATCAATATATTTTTCAGGCTATTTCTAACCTTTATACAGCAAGATTTAAAAATATTCCAGGGTAATTTTTAATGCAACTTAGATTTGTAATACTGGTAAATAAAGCTTTTTAAAGATTGTTTTCTTTGACTATAAAATAATTTCAATTTCCTGATCTTGTAAAAAATGAACAAAGTTTTATCAAGAAACAAACAAACACTTAAGAATTAACACATGCAGGTATAGTAACTAACAGCAGTAAAGCTATGATATCTTTAACATTCCAGTATGTGCTATATAACATTTAACATATTTGAGTTATACTGAATCAATTTTTCACCATATGTATTTAATCTGTTTAATGACCAATAATTACTTTTCATATTGAGCCTATGTTTTTATTTCTATTCTTGAGAATTTCTTAGGCTAGAAGGCTATTAAACAATGTTTTTGAAAAGCTCATTAATTCTAACAAAGCCCAAGGAAATGGTTTAGAACTGAAACATGGAATCTTAATTGATTAATGAAGAACCAAATGTTTGTATTTTAGAAGTTAAAGATCAAAGTGTTTAAGACCTTCTAGACATTCTTTTTAAATTATCGCTTTAGAGTTAGGGTCCTTTCGACAAGTACTTCACCAATGATTTACTGACTCTACAATTACTCATATAGACTGGTTTTCAAAAGTGCCAGTGCAAAGAAACGTGAAACACACACACACTTCCTATCATACAACCATCTTTTAATCAACATGAGTAGATGTTTAAAGTCTGACACAATAACACCTCTGAGGACAGTAATTTTGAAATCAGTATTCTGTCCTACCAAATACTACTCAAGTGTGAAGCTAGACAGACTTTCAGAGATTCAAGGATGCAGATGTGAAAAACAAAAATTACTGCTCTTGCCACTTCGTGGAGCCACTAGCTGGGGCTGCTCATAGCACTTTGTGCTGGAGCCAGGAGCCTGTGGCTGATGCCATGTCTCACTAGACTGGCAACCAAGTAGCTGGAGTTATCTTTGCCAGAACAAGGAATGGAAAATGTAGACTTCTGAAAATATCTATTGAGTATGAGCACCTTGTGACTGGATCACGTAATCAACCTTCAGATTCATAAGGAGGATTTCTTTGTTCTGCTTCTGCTGGTGGAAAAAGCACCATGCTATTTTTCATTCAGGTTAAATTCTCAGAATGCCCACGGATATGAATGGATATTTTCCTGCTTGATCACCAGATCATTATTGTGTTTGTCAAAAAATGCTCTATGTAGTATCAAGAGCAACTTTGAAAAAGGCGTTTGGAGGTGACCATATTAAAGATGACATATTGGGAACAGTAAAGAAGATGTGCCACTGCATGGATGTAAAAAGTACTTGCTGTCAGTCTTCTTCTGCCCCATGAACTGCAGCTGAGAATGAGGTGCAAACTGATGTAGGAGTGCACACAAAGCATCAAACGCTACAAGAAGTAGCATTTCTCATTTCCTAAGATGTTTCTTAGGCTTTGGAAAAACTGAGTAACAGCTCAATCATGTGCAATTGGAAACGGAGCTAAGAAATGAAATAATTGTGGTCAACATTACAAATACAGAACTAAAAGATTTATTTGCCAAAGAGGATTCCCAAGGACTCAGCACACTACCATTTCTTTCTGTAGAAACATTCCCATGAAGGAGACTATTAGGACTCAATGTTGCTATGTGCCGTCCAGTCGCCTGCGACTCATAGCAACCTTTTGTTCTACAGGCCTGAAACCTGTTCTATCCTGTGCCAACCTTATTGTCTCTGACAGACAATACCCATTACCCCAGTAACGGAATCAATCCAACTCATTGAGGATCTTCCTCTCCTGTGCTGCCCCTCCACCCTCCCAAGCATGACATTCCTCTCAAAGGACTGGTCCCTCTTTGCAACATGTCCAAAGTATGTCAGACGAAGTCTCAGAATCCTTGCCTCCAAGGAGCAGCCCAGCTTCAACTTCTCTAGGACGAACTTACTTGCTCTCTTAGCAGTCCATGGTATATTCAATACTCTTCTCCAGCACCACGGCTCAAAGGTATCAATTCTCCTTCTATCCTCCCTAGTCATTGCCCAGCTTTCTAAAGCACAGCAAGTAATTGCAAAGACTAGGGCCTGAAGTCTTTGGATCCAATACTGTTCATTTATTCAATGCCTGCATATACATGTGGATGTTGTATTTTAGCTGCAAAAACTGGATGAAATATGTTTACGGCATTGAAGTCTATGGGGGAGAGAACAGTCTAAAAGTATTATATTTTAGGGCATTATTTTTATCGTAGGAGTATGCAATGAGGGTTGTAGAGTGGATTATATTTGGGGCTAGG